GCTGACCTGGTGGCTTGGCACGGGCGCCGACTTGGTGGCCTAGCCCTAGAGCGACCTGGCGTCCTGGCTCTGGCGTGACTTGGCGGCCTAGCCTAGGCGGCGACCTGGTGGCCTGGCCCAGGCGCGAATCGCCGAACCGATAAAAGACTTCGGCACCACATAAGACCCAGTCGCCTCTTCGGCATGGACAAAATCAAAGATCAAGGAGAGTGGACTACGAGTCGCTCCCAAAGCCTAAGGGCTAAAGTGCTGAACTAGCAAAGACTTCGGCTCCACATAAGACCTAGTCGCCTCTTCGGCATGGGGAAAATCAAAGATCAAGGAGAGTGGACTACGAGTCGCTCCTAGAGCCTAAGGGCTAAAGTGCCGAACTGGCAAAGACTTCAGCTCCACATAAGACCCAGTTGCCTCTTTGGCATGGGCAAAATCAAGGGTAAGGAGTGTGGACTGCGAGTCGCTCCCAAAGCCTAAGGAATTGAATTGACGCTTATGAGCCCATCGAATTAGTCATTTCAGGACAAAAGGAGCAATCTACTCCCTTCGCCGAGTTACTTTTGGCTCGGGAGTGGGGGGCAAATGATGAGGGCGGATTTGGCCCTTCAATGATATTGTGACACATGGCACCTCGGAACAACTAGGTGACACTCGGAACCACTTTGGCAACAACTTGCCTTCGCCAAGTTGATGGTGTCCCACCTAGCGGCGCCGACCTGGCAGCCTGGCCCTGGCGCGAATTGGCAGCCTAGCACTGGCGCGACCTGGCCCTGGCGCGAATTAGCAGCCTGGCACTAGCACGACCTGGCGGCTTGGCCCTGGCGGCCTGGCCCAAGCACGAACTGGCGGCCAGGCCCTGGCGTGACCTGGCGGCCTGGCCCAGGCGCCGACCTGGTGACATGCGAGACGTGCTTGGCGACAAATTCGGCATGCATATCCAAACACTCCCACGATCCTTGGAACTTGGCCCACGTGTTGAACTATCCGGAGGGTGGTCAACGTGCATGAAGTTACCTCAGGGAATCTCAGACCACTTAGACGACTTTTCGGAAATCTCGGATATGGTGCATGAAGCCCACACCAAACAATGCCTATATAAAAGCACCAACCCCAATGGCATAGGGGGCAAGTAAGCATATTCTAGCTCTCATACTATGTATT